TATGATGGTCGAGGCTAGGCCGAAATTTCAATCGCTTAATTCTCGATTCATAGTTGATCAATTTGAATGAAATCTTCCGCAAATTGCCTTTACATTATCTAGTTTTTAACTATTATAGTGAGAACTACCAGCTCTTTATCTAATCTCCTATAATGTATCTTTAATCCACTGTTAACGGATTTATATTGGCATCCGATGGAAAGCAGAATTTAGTTCAAACTTCTGTGCATAGCATACAAATGCCAGAAAGGTGACGCGCCAGACTACTTGTTCTCGATGTCCCCCAAAGAAATCTTCGGTTCCAATTTGAACTACGTCTGGTGGTACCAACTATAGACTTAAGACATTAACTGTGCTTTTATCTTGTGATAAGCGGAGAGCTAAATGCGCCTTGGGGATTAACTTTAATGGATCTGTGCGCAATATAAGAACTCGTCAGTATTATTATTATTTATTATCACGAGTAATGTATTCCATAGGTTTTGTACAATGTATGAGAAGCATCTATGTCCGGAAAACTTTAGTGAAGGCTAAAGTCGGGGTGTTTGTGTTGTTATAACAAACGGCGACATCCCGCTGACTGATTGGTTATCTATAAAAACTGATTGCTATAAATACGTTTTCTCCTTCAGAAATAAATCGGCCCTCTATTTATTGTACAATACCAAATATATTACAAACACCAGCTATATTCTTATAATAACACTTAACATAATTGACCCTTTACCTTGATCACAATCAAACACCCTCTCTCGACAAATCCCCAACAATTACACCAATTTTCTACCTTCAATACAAATGAGTTTGCCTCAATTCCCGGGGGGATAACTCTCGTCTATTGTTCAAGCAATGTAACATGCAAACTAAACAAATTAAACGCAATTATCAATTACTTGTTAATACGTTGGTCGTCGATGCATGATAACATAATAGCAGAATATTTTAAGCCACTCGAGAATTGCAACCCGATTGAATGCTATATTTAGTAAATGTTTATCTTATCTGCTCCTATTTACTAAGCATCTCAAGAATGTCGGTTGCACAATTTTGATATCTAAGAATTTATTTCCGTGCGTCTAGGTTTTGAAATAAATATAAAATGTAGGTAAATCTAAGGTGACTGAAAATATGTTAGGTTGGGGTTCTGTTTTTTTGTGGATAGGGTAGGCTGGGGAAGAAGGGGGGGGGGATTTTAATGTTTATTTTAGGAGTTCATTAATGCATTGAATTTCTGTCCAAATAAGACATATTAATTAAAATGTGTGAACAGTAATGTTGGGGTTATTGAGTACAGCGTGTATATTAACACAGTAGTCTATTAACTGTATACCGGTATGGGAATCCGAATTTTCTTTTTAAAGGAGCAAAACGTTTAAAACGAAATGAAATGAGGTTGAACGTCCTACTGTTTTGCTCCGCACTTGGCTAATGAAGACGAGCATAAACCACACAGTGTGCTATGAGGGAAATTTTGCCCGGACAGTGGCACTACGGCCTACTCTTATACCGAATTCTAACTTCAAGGGATCTTTTACGTGCACGCCAATGTGTACACGTCTCATCCGTGTCCTCGTCAGGCCCTCCGTCCTGCATCACTGACAAGGGGGAATCACGCCGGAAAATCTGGATGAACTTTCTCGGCCAATGCAGGGATTGAACACCCGACCTCCAGGCTAGCGAGTCAGCGCCTTACACAAAACGTTTAATATAAGCATTACGTTGCTTGTTATTGTATCCAATTTATTCATATTATTCCCTTCATGGTTGTATATAAGAATTTCTGAATATATACGTTTTTTTAAAATCAAAACGTATTTGTAGAATTAGTTTGACTGCACCAGTCACCCAGCCAGCTCCATTAGAATTAATGGTTACGTTCAAACCGCGGTCCATGGAGCACAGTTCAAAACGAAAATGGCATCGCCCCGCTCGGCATATTGGAAATATGCCCTTTAAGATATGATTTCATTATTAAGACTTTCGGCACTAATTTAAACATTGAATCCGGTTGTTATGAATCAAACTCGTCCTATGGGATTTTTTAAAGTTTTTTTTTTGTTTTGTTTAAAATACAAACCCTTACTTAAAGATACATTATGTAAGATTTAGATCATTATTGCTATAATAGCTCAAAATAGATAATGTAAAATGAAAATATTGAAAATTTCATTCAAATTACTTCATTCTGAGCCAAGTTATCAGTGTTTGTAGTTTTGACAAGATGTGTGCATTGTGGTAACCAGGGCACTGGTATATTCTAGACTTAGCCTCGCTTTCCCATTTTTAAATTAAATTTTTAAATGGCGAACCGTTCTAATCTAGTTAACATCTCGAGTATCCGATGCCATCGAGAGTTGATTAAGGCCTGGATCAGTTAATTAATGCCTAATTAATACTTTAGAAAACATTTCAGGCCTAAAGAAATACCTGCAATAGACAGATTTGGCTCTTGCATAATATATGATTAAATGTTCTTAAACTATAATTCGTTTATATCCTAGTTTTCGTAGAGAATTAGTTACGAACGAAAATATGAAACACAACGCCTGTAAAATAATGTAATGTCGAATACAGTCTAATAAAACAATAAAATAAGATACAAACTGTGAAACGATTGCCTTTCTTCAAATAACAAAAACTTAAAATTGAAAAAGACTTCCACACATAAAGTGCGTGAAAATTAATGAAATTTAAAAGAAAGAAAAAAAATGAGCTGCATAAGAAATACAATTTTAAATTTTGTAATCTATCATGCTGAAATGAATTCTAAGGCGTATATTAAAACTATTTATAAACGTTTAGTTAAAAAAAAAATTAATAATTCCTTAAATTCTACATCATGTCTTAAGTATATGGACGTCAGATTAAAGAGAGAGAAATGGGGTTTAACGTCCACTCGACCCAGACTAGATCATTTCCGGACTAACATATGGTTTAATTTTATTTCTATAATTGGCTTGCGCGTAGGGGTCTTTAGAAGTGGGAGGAAACCAGAGGAGTCGGAGAAAACTCGCGAGGTTGGACAGGTAACCCTACTCCTTGTCACGTACAACCGGGGGTTCGGAACCATGCCAGTTGACTCAATGACAGACCTTATGATAAAGCGCGCTCATGTTAACCATTCGGCAATCCAACCCCCGTTAAATTAAAGAACGTAAGTGTTTGATAATGATAAGAGAATACGTGTCGAAACGTCGTGTTATATGGATACACACCATTGCTTGTTTTCCATATAAATCGTATTACCTGCTTTTTTTGTTGTGCTCAATCGCTAAATTCCATTTGGCTATTTTTCAACGGGTTCTATGGCGTATATATCAAAAACTTTTTATATATAAACGTTAAGAACGCTTAAAATAATCCTTGAATTCTAAAGTGTATAAAAACATTTTAGGTCTAGACATAAAATTTGTCATACCGCTTTGGATTCTACAGCGTATAAAAAATGTTTAGATCTAGATGTTTGATTCTGAAACGTGTTAAATATTCCCAGAGCGTATATTATGACATATCGAAGGCAAAACATTCCTTGGGTTTCAAATCACATAAAAATATTTTAGGTCTATTCTCTATTTTCGCCACACCTCCTTGGATTCTTAAGTCTATCTATAAACAGTCAAAGACAAAACATTCTCTGGGCTCTAAAGCGCATACAGAACATAGATTCAACTCTGGGACCATCCATGCAGAAATAAATCCATAATGAATATATAAATCTGTAAATCAATTGTTGAACAACATAAAACAACCTGTAATTGTTCTTTTGGGAACTAACAAGCACAAAGACTTAATTAATAAACCTGATTTTTTTTTTAAAGTGGTTTTTTTGATGCATGATGGTAAAACGACATCTCAATTAACATGTAATTACTATTTGTTTGACGTACGTATACTATCAGCGAACATTGAAAATGATTTCCCAAAATAGATAACATTATTAATAGTCAATAATTAATCCACTTAGCTTTTTGTCCATTTATATGATTAGGATTAGGATTTAATTACAAAGGGTTGACATTATTCTCAAAATATATTCCATATCTGAAAGCTAATACATTAAATCCGGTATTTAATAAACTGATTTTTTTAAAAGCAATATTTCATTCAGATTTGTATCTGAATAGGGATTAGGGAACAGGCATAACCTATAACCCCTCTCCCTAAATTGAATTTAAGATATAATCCGTTCAATCGTAAACCCTATTTACACGACTTTCCAAATAAAATTATAGAATTTGAGATATTATCCGTTATTATTAATGAATATTTACCTTTCATATTAAACTAGTAGTATTTTAGTTATTGTCTATTTCATAGAAAAACGCATATACCTGTCCAAATAATATTTTTTGAGTTATTGTCCTTTTTATACTTAACCCAATTAGCCACTTTTTCCTGATAAACTTACGGAATTGTAGTTATTGTCCTTTTTATATTTCACCTAATTAACCACTTTTTCCTGATAAACTTAAGAAATTGTAGTTATTGTCCATTTTATATTGAACTAAATTTAAAGATGCATTAGGTAAGATTAGATAAAGAGCTGGCAGTTCTCGCAATAATAGTTAAAACATAGATAATGAAAACAGGATGTTCTACAAATTGCAGTCAAATTGCTTCACTCTTAACCGAGATATTAGTGATTCAATTTTAGACTAGCCTCGATCATCATTATTAACGTCGGTATTTTAAAAAACAAAGTCTCGATTATCCAAATTTACGTTAAATTATCCGTCACAAAATGTATTCAAATCCATCAAATATCGTAGGCTAACGATGGTATCGAGAGTTAATTATGGTCTAATTAATAATTTAGATAACATTTCAGACTAAAAAAAGACATGTAAAAGGCAGATGTAGCTCTTGCATAATACATGTTTAACTTCCCTAATGTGTTTTAATAATGAGCTTCGACCGTCTTCACTAGCCCGGTTGATGCAAGAAAAGTCGACCGTTAAAACCAATTTAATTCATTCATTAATAATTAGTTTAAAACTTACCTGTATTTTACAAATAAACCTCGTTTAAATAACAGCGGCGTCTCTTTGATATAAAAACTTCCAGGTAAATTATTATCCAAATGATTCACTGATATTGATGGCTTCCATACTTGACTTAATTTCAAATTGTTTAACTAAAATACTGTTTCAGATCGGTTATATTTTTTTATATATCAAATTTCACTCGGACGTGGCGAGTTATTGTCAAGTTCACGCGCCGCAGGTAAGCGTAACAGTCACGTGACCCTTTTGAACGAATAACGCTATAGACAATAGTAAGTTAATTTTGCGCTATTCGTGAGTTGAGTGGTTTTGGTTCGTCAATACGCTTGTTTAACGTACAATGTCCTCGGCTCTCATTAAACATTACCGTTCCATATCACAAATATTGACCAATATGCATCCAGCTAATCTATCCGTGTGGATTGACAATTCGATCAGCAGCCAATACTCAAGAGATCTCGTCGAGTCTCGCCAAGTCAGACACTGAACGGCCGAATTTCAGCGCTCCACAAACTTAGTTCCCACAGCGTGGCTTTACAATGAAATAGTGGCGCGTTTAGCTAATCTCTGTTACAACAAAACGAAAGTAGACCACCTCTCTAGTGGCGTCTTATTCTATGCTATGATAAAGTATAAAGTAAAAGGAGTACAGCTTGGTAGTTCTGTATACTCGAGACTGGTGTTAGCTGCGTTTCGTTGGCGATTAATGCAAACACAGTCCAATCAATAAGCAATAATGCTATATTTTTGCTCGTTTCGATGTATTTGAAGGTGAAAAGCCCGAGTCTATAGCCGTAACATGATTCTGCTCTTTACCGGCGTTTGACGAGACAATACAGGTATACGGTTCAATTAGTTGAGGTGTGGCTTACCTAACAAGTTGATTTTAAAGGTATCATGGCGGTCTGTACGTCGATTAGCCCAATAGTTTATGGATTAAAAGGGGGATCGATAGTCATTATCAAATAAGGTTATACGGCGATGCACACTCAGGGTGGGATAAGAATAGGTTTTCCCATCAGAATACTTAAAGATACATTATGAGAGATTAGATAAATAGTTGACTATTCTCGCTATAATAGTTACAAAATCGATAACCTAAATAGAATATGTTGAAAATTTCAGTCAAATTGCTCCACTCTGAACAGAGATATTAGTTTTTGAATTTTAAGCCTTTGCCTCGGTCATCATTACTAAAGTCGGTACGATAATAAACATGGTCTCGGTTATCCAGTTTTGGATTTAATCATCAATGAGCGTTGAGCAGCAAATCGGATTCAAATCCAGTGCAAATCCGATACATACGATGACATCTAGAGTTGATTATGGTCTGGATAAGTTAATTAATGTCTAATTAATAGTTTATATAACATTTCAGGCCCAAAGAAAGACCTGCAATTGGCCGATTTAGCTCTTGCATAATGTATCTTTAAGAGAAGAAGAATTTTGACCGAACAACTGCCAAGATTTCCCAGGATTGCTTGCCAATGTGTAGGGCTCGATTTTTCGTAACTGAAAGAGCGACAATAGGGGCTGACAAGTAGGCCCCTGAGTTAAATATTCCCGGTGTTTTAGTGGAGAGTGCATTTCCCTAAATCATGTGATATCACCCTACCCAGGTGGTTGCAAGTTTAAAATATTGCAGCAGTAGCAATGCAGCAGCAGTAGTAGTAATAGTAGTAGTTATTGTTGTTTTTGTTGTTGTGTTAGTAGTAGAAGCAGTGGACAGTGGTAGTGTTGTTGCAGAATGTACTACAGAAAGTGTAACGCTACCGCAATGTCTCGAATAAATAGCGAGTTACATTATCGAAAAACTAACCTCAATATTTTACAGTAAAATATTTAATTGCGCTTTGGAGGTCGTGTCTGGCTTGAGTTTTAAATACTACGACAATTTCAAGGCATGTAACTGACTGAATGATAAATCTTCCAAATAGTCAATTTCACTGCCTGTCCGTCACGACTGGAAACATGGCCAACACGAGAGTCCTGCTGGCCAGTCAACCCATTCCAATTCCGACCAACACAACAACTGGGCCTTAAAACTACACCCGACACAATGCAACAAAGTGCTCCATAACTTTCATCAAATTTTCTATCTTATAAAATACGAAGGATTATTTAGATGCACTGAACTTTGATAATGTATGATATCGGCTTTTCAGCTCTACAAACCCTTTCAATAACATGTCGTATAAACAACTCCACATATGATGATGATTTTGTGGTGTGAGACTCAATTCCTTATAAGAAGTTCGCATCCACTATCCCTGTTGTTTAAAGCTGCTACATAACCACGGGTTTACTGACATTAAGACAGCTTTGGAATACAGTTCCGTCCGACTGATGCCTAATTCACTTTCTTAATAAAGGTCTTATCATTATGCTAATCTTCTGTTATCTGTAGTATTACAACTATTGAAGATGATATAACCCTTTCATTATTTACGATCTAAGTATTGTTATCCTACCTTTAACTGACGATTTTAATAACAAGCGCATATTAAAGGTACACGATCGCTATCTGATGATAGAAAACAAACCAGCCATCGTTTGATAATTCAAACTTTATTGTTCTAACTTTTACTTTGTTCAAATTGGCTTACGATTGGGACTCGTAAATAGCCTACAGCTAGACAAGAACGACTACAGAAGATAATTATACATAAATTAAACCTATAATTTACCTTTGAATAGATCAATGGCTAGATACTCACATGTATGCCTATTTACTTGTCAACTTTATCTAATTGTTGGTTTTTTGTTTAAACAAAGAGAAAGATGTTCTGTCATGATAAAGTACAAAGGGGAGGCAATATGAGAGAGAGGGAGAGAGAGGGGGGGGGGGTACTCCTTATTCTAATACCAACTATCAAAGGTTCTCAAGGGCGCATAGTTTTTCGTCTTACCCGGACGACTCGACACCGTTCCTTGCCGTGTCTTCTGTCATGCACCACTGTTTCCTAATTCGGTATACATACTTTTGTAATGGTAACCATAGAAATAACTATGTCAACAGTCCCAAACATTAAGCAGACATTTTGTGCTCACGAGTTCTTTTTGGGAGTGTGCGCAGATCTCTATTGTACACAAACAAAATATGTTAGCTGACGAAATCCCCAGAACGAGCAGCGGGCATTTTATGCCCATGAGTATCTTTAATTCAAATGTCTAGGCAACTGGAATTCAAATTTCCCAGCACAAATTCATAAAAAAAAACAAGTACCATCGTTCTATGGACCAGTTGTCCAAGAAACCAGCATGCCAAGTGTCATTTCCATCGTACATGATGGTGGTAGTGGTCGTGTGGGTAAGGGGAGCCACGGTGGCTAGGTGGTTAAGACGCTGGCTCGCTAGCCTGGAGGTCGGGTGTTCGATCCCTGCATTGGCAGAGAAAGTTCATCCGGATTTTCCGATGTGGTTTCCCCTTGTCAGTGGTGCAGAACTGAGGGCCTGACAAGGACAGCTATCTAGTCCTTCGGATGACACGAAAAACCGAGGTTCCCTGTATACATTGGAATGCACGTAAAAGAGTAGGCGATAGTGCCGCTGCCCGGGCAAAATTTCCCTCATAACACACTGTATGGCGTATGCCCGTCTTCATTAGCCCAGTATAGGAGCAGAACAGTAGGACGTTAAACCTCATTTCATTTCATTTCGTTACCCCAAAAATATCCATCAAACAAGAAGCGGACAGTTTTAGCTCAAGAGTCCATTTGGGAATGTACGCAAAAGAGCTCTAAGGAAGTAGAATTCATATTTCCCAGCACAACTTTATAACCGATAAATTTATTTCCTATTTCATAGAAGGATCAAACTAGGACATATCATATTGTTCACAAAAACAATCGTCGTTCATTGATGGAGACATTATGTAGGCGTCATTACATGATGGTTTGTTGAAATAAGTTCTCCAGTTTATTTTCATCAGGCTATATTCGTCTTTGTGAACTTTTCATTAGTGCGTCAAAGATTCGGTCGGGGACAATCTTCGTTTCGCATGAATTCAAAATAGAAATCAAACGACGGCATGGTCACCTGGGTATTGTTTCGTCAACATAGATTATATTTAGATATTCACATCATGGTCGTCATAAAGGCTGCAATCCTCTTGAGATATAACTGCTCCAGATAAATTATTATATTTTCAATAATCTTTGCAAAAGGACGTTAGCATGTCGCGGAAATAAATTGAGTAACACGAACAGCGTCTTTCGTGTTTTAAAATCTCTTTGCGTCAATTGCATTTTCACGGCTTAATATCTATATACTTTGGTATCTTCGGTGGATATCAAATTTTCTGTATCATGGGGGCTAATGAAGGTGGGCAATGTCTCGCAGTGTGCTATGAGGGAAATTGTGTCCGGAAAGCGATTTCATCGATTTCCAGATGTCAAGGTATCTTTAACGTGTACGAAAGGCTAGGCATTTTTGTGTATCATGCCCTCCACTCTGCGTGGAGCACGTACGTGTGCTTAACGAACTTCCCACCTGAACAGGACTTTACCTGTGGACCACATGCCTGCATCACAGCATCTTATTCCCCCGAACGATAGCCACGTCCCTTGACAAACACGTGTCTGTGCATCACAACATCTTATCCCCCCGAACAAGATAGCCACGCCCCCTTGACAACCACGTGAATGCATCTTCCTCTAATAATCTACGTTCTTCCAGGTCATTGAAAATTCTGTTTTTTACGGAAATATACATCTGGCAATATGTTAATATTATTGCCATCTTTAAAATCTAAACATAAGTTATATTTTGATTGATAGAATAAACTTGGGTTGGACAATTTATGGAATTTTTAGATTATCATAGAAAATGGCGTCAACGTTTACGACGTAACGACGACATAATCTGATTCGTTTAAGTCGGCTTTATACGTCAAACTGATTGATGTCGGGGATTGGTTCAAAGGAAAGATTCGTTTCCAACTTTATTTAAAGGCAGATCACACAACTAAACACATTGTTGTTATCAATATAATTAAGTACTAAAATGGTGTCGAGACGCAATTTAGTTTTTAAAAGAAAGAAACGCTGTTTTTGTTTATTCACAAGCTGAACATTTCAAGTTACTTTAGATTAGCCATAACACATCAAAAACTGAGGGCGACCACGCTGGGGATTTGTAAAATTCAGCATACGATAGTTAACAAATTGTCGTCTGTTCCAATTTGTCATAAACTCCATTGATTGGTCAATGCTTTTTGAATTTCTGTCATGGCAACGAGAATTAAAGGATAATAAAGAATGGTTTGATAACAAGTTGAAACGGAAGTTATTTTGTCGTGTCTGGTCGGTTAACCTTTGGTAATTGTAAGGTTTGTAAGATCAACACAGACGTTCAACAGCGGGGATCAATCAGTCTTAACGCATCGACGGGTCCGTCGTTTACAGCAGTAGATTCGGGTTGGCTTGGCCCACGTTATACATGTCCTCTCTAGCAATTAGTCACTCGGCAAACCTCAGCAGATTCCAGTACCCTACATCTAGCTAGCCTCGCCTGTATGACGAAAACCGACATTGGGACTACTTTCATGTACCCGGATTACCAACGGCGTTGCCCATGACGACGCCTTTGAAGAATGTTTTATGGTTTTATCATA